CTTGCGCGGGGCCGGGGGCAGGTCGTCGTTGGCGACGTCGGCGGCGCGGGCGATGAAGGTCGAGACGGGCATGAAGACGCCGAGGGTGTCCTGGATGCGGCGCTGGGCCTCGGCGACGTGGGCCAGGGAGATGGGGAGGGCGACCTGGGTCCTGGCCGGCGGGGCGGGGCCGGGGGCGGGGGCCGCGGGCTCGGGGGCGGGCTTGGGGCCCGTGGTCGGGGTGGCGTTGGGCGCCCTGTCGGCGATCTTGATGTTGCTGAGGTCGAGGACCGCGAGCTTGGCGAAGCGCTCGGTGATCTTGGCCGGCGTGTCGCGGTTGATGGTGCCCAGGTGGGCGAGGATGTCGCCCTTGAGGAGGCGGCCCTGGGGGCCGGTGGGCGTGATGCTCGAGAGCGTGTCGGCGTCGATGCCGTGCTGGTGGACGAGGCTCTGGACCGAGGGGAGCAAGGGGTACTTTTGCTTGTGGACCTTGCCGTCGGCCGTGTTCTTCTCGGCAGGGGAGCCCCTCCTGTCCTGCTCGTCGGCGTTGGCCTCGAGCTTCTCCTCCTTCTTCTTCTTCTTCTCCTCTTCGGGCTGGGGCGTCTTGCCGGCGGCGGACTCGTCGGCGGGGACCTCAAGTTGGGAGACGTCATCACCAGCCTCGGCCAAGACGGCGATGCGGGTGCCGACCTGGACGGCCTTGCTGCCGTCGCCGGACATGATCTTGAAGACAATGCCGTCATCCTGGGCCTCAACGTCCATCGTGGCCTTGTCGGTCTCGATCTCGAGAAGGACGTCGCCGGCGGAGAAGCTGTCGCCCTCCTTGACCTTCCAAGTGGCGATGTTGCCCTCCGTCATGGTCGGGGACAGGGCAGGCATGGTGAAGTTCTGGGCGGCGGCGCATCGTGCTGAGGAGCGGAATCCTGAAGAACGGGTCAACTGTCAGCGAGGGACATTTGCGAGTGGGATCTCGCCCGCTACGAATTGCGAAACGAGGAAAGGATTGGGGAGAGCAAACGCACCTCGGATGGCCGTCTCTGCGGGTGCCCTGCGCACCATCCTCGCCGAGAGGCGGCAAGCTGTTGCGAGTGAAGCCATGGCCAGGGTGTTGCAGGCTCAATGGAGGGGATGGGCGCTGCGTGGGTGAGGGTGCTCGAAAATGTGAGCAGCGATTATCTCTCTCTCGAATTGAGAAGCTGTTGGGATCCGCCGGACCTTTGGCGCTGTGCACGGGCCATTCCGCGTTGGACTTGTTGGATTCCTCCAGTTGACGAGAATCGCTTCCGATTCCGGCCGATGCACCTGTTCGTTACATGCATATGCTCATATACCACCTACCTGGGGCACCTGCCTACCTACCTTGGGTGCCTAGTTACCTAAGGTATGTAACAGTCCCCACTCCTGACCAGATCAAAGGCAGCAACATCACATCCTGCATCCTCAGTTCTGTCTAATGTCAGCGTCGCCGACTTGTGACATTCCCCCCAAAGCCTCTGCTTCATCACCATTCTATGAGCCGTCCCTGTCATGGCTGACCAAAGCACGACACCATGTCTCGATTCGTCACCTTGAAGCGGCCAACAACAAGCATGCCCAGCATGGCCACTTGAGCAACTTGGCAATTCTTGGCTTTTTTTTAATTATGGTTTTCTCATGACATCCCTCACAGACGTCCAAAGAAAGATATCTAGCTTCGTCTCCACCTCGGACGACGTTGGCATCTGCGAGCAAACACGTTGAAATGAGTCGTGTATCGCGCGGTACGGCCAGCGTGACTCGCCTGTTTCTATCGTTGACAGCCAGGGCGATTCATTCCCTCATCAATGCAGCAGCACTGATCAGCGTCAAATTCCTCCGATGTTTTCATCGATCTTTTACATGTGCTCTGCGTTTATCCTGACAACTTTGAGGTCTTGATGGGCTGTCTACTCAGAGGACTTCCCTAGCTAAGACGACAGACCCGTCTTCCGAAGTTTGCGATACAAGCCTCGCCATACTTCAGCTACGTCTAGGGTGCGTACAACCCGGCTTCGCTTGAACTCCTCGTTGCATTCATCTGCCTCTGGCAATGTGACCCCTGCCACGTCAAGTCTTGGACCTAGTTTTAAAGCCCGGAGAAGACATGATCCGCGATGATTCGGCCATCTTAGGCAAGAGCAAGAAACTTATGAGTGCACCAAAACACATCGATGAGGTCCCTGCCGAGTCGTCTGGCTCGAAACCTCGGCTGCTGGCGAAGTACAGACCTCTGCGGAGCTGGCCGCTCATTGCGTTCGAAGACGGAAAGTGCTGGAAAGACATGCAAAGAAGCTGTCACACTTGTGGCCCTAGCATCATTTGGGCGCTCGACGCCTCGTCTGCAGCCCGCAGGCTTTTACTGCAGCAAACAGCTCAGATCACTACGCCTGACGCTTTACAATGATGGTCACACAGCACCTGAGACTGCGCCGCAGAGCAAGGCCGCTTCTGCTGCATCTTCAAGTGGTCTGTCACAAGTCCAGGCGCTCAGTGTGTGTGGCACAAGTCCTCATGAGCAAGGGAATTATAGTAGAAGGTTGCTGCCGTGTGATAAGACACCAACGAGACGGCCGACCATCCGCACCCAGATCTCTGTCTGGGCGAGCACATGTTTCATTCAACAGCCTACATATCCGAAGACCGGCTAATCTTCAGGGGAAGATGATCGTTCCTCGCTGTATGTTGAGCGGCTCGAGATTCTGCACTTCCAGTCCGTGCTCGATATTGAGGTTCCCATTGACCGGGCCGCAGCCGAGCACAATACGAATGACGTAGCACGGCTACTTGATCAAATTCCCGATCGTAGTGATGGACCAGGTACTGTTGTTAAATCGGAAAAACTGACACATCAATTTTCAAACAAGATCAATGAGGACCTCAAGTTGGGGTTGGTGGATGGTTTCGCCCATGGCCGTGGCCGTTTCAGCTATCGACCGACCACCAAGTCACTGCGATTTAGAGTTTCCGCCGGGAGCTGACCAGACGTTCATGTCAATCTCTCGTACAAGTCGTGTGGTGTAGCACCCCCTTCACCTTTTCCCTCGCCGCTCGGGCATTTCGTCCCAGATATTCGGGCGTTCGGTAGGTGGGCGGTCCTGTGCGAACGGGCCACGGGCCACGGGCAGGGGATGGTTCGTGATCTACGCGGCCTACGCGGGACTTGAGCGACCCGAACACACCACACAGTAACGAAGGACTTGACCCGAAGCAAACAAATGGCGGAGCTATTTCCCCGGTCGACACGTTTATTTCGATCGTGTGCCCCGAGCTTTGACCACGGCGCTGTCCGCCTTTGGAGCTATCGGGTTTTCAACTCCAATGTGTTACATGGCCCGTTTCCCCATCGAACCTTGATTTCGTCCGAAGGTGGACTAACAAGTATTTCTGGGCAACATGGATCACTTTCTGCCTCGGCTGGGACAGCATGAAGGGAAAGCAGTGGTAAGATAGAGCCAGACAAAAGCGACCATGGGCCTCGCCTCGGGCTCCTCCATTCCCTCAGGGGTGGTCCAACCCAGCGACTTGGCTCTGGACAGGGGAAGCGCAGCCAGTCCTTATGTACTTCACAGCAATATCTCTTCTCTGTTTAATATTGGCATATTGCTGCTAATACTTCTAATTTCGCCAACATGGAGAGTCCAACGTCTCCCAAACCCACAATGTCCACGGAAAGCGAGTCGTCAGACACGGCCAGCGAAGCCGAGCCATTACCAGCAAGACCAGCGGCTAGCTATGTCAGACCTCCGATGCGCCCTTCGACGGCGCCATCCGAAGAGATCTCCGGCAGCGTCTTTCTCATATCCGAGTCTGGCGAGCTTCTGAAGCTGCCCATACCTTCGAACTCGCCGCGCGACCCGCTGGCATGGACCGTCAAAACCCGAATCGCCGCCCTCATCAGTGTGTGCTTATTCTCCATGACGGCAACGGTCACACTCAACCTGCCCACTGGCATGCAGATTGGTCTAGCACTCGAGTTCCCAGACGAAGTTTGTTTCTCCACATGCTTTGGTGATGAAGAGCCCGGCTAACAGCTGCTGCAGACGCTTAAGCCTCTCGGTGCCAGGTCGCTGAGGTCCGTCATGACCTTTTCTGCTGGTATGGGATACATCATTGCCACGCCCCTCTCCACGGCCATTGGACGACGGCCTGTCGTGCTCATCGCTTCGGCCACGGTAACACTCATGACTCTATGGGCTGCGATGGCGGGAAACTTCTACCAGCTCATGGCTGCTACTTGCATTCAGGGTATTTCGGGAGGTGCTACATATGCTGTGGTGAGTGGCCGTCGTCTGAGGGTCTCTGCGTTGATATGATGTGTGCTGACCATCGGATATTAGGCAATACTGATCATTGTGGACGCGACCTTCATTCACGAGCGGCCCTATGCATTTGCCGTCTTTTGGGCTTTCGGGACCTTCTTCGTCAACTGTCTTCACATGGCATTGCCGTTTTTCTTGAAGCCCAGCGTGCTCTGGCGCCCTGTGTACCTCGCATGGTGTGGAGGCCTGCTGGCCGTCTTCATCATATCCTACTGCTTCATCCCCGAGACGTATTTCATCCGGCCCGCCGTTGCCCTGAACGGTAGGGTCCTGGTGCAGAGCAGCACAGAGAAGGTTCGCATCTATGACAGCTGGGAGGCGGTGCCCTGCGGGCCCGACTGCCCACACAACCACGACGAGACTCCAGGTCCGTCCGACTGGGCCCTGCGACGCAAGATTGAGCGCGCGCCAGGCACGCAGTGGGAGTCAGGCTTGGTGGTGTACGCGCAGATGCTGCTGTGCATGTGCAACCCGCTGCTGGTGTGGGTCTCGCTGCTCTCGGCGACGATCCTCAGCGGCGTCATCTTCACGACGCTGATGCTCGAGGAGCACTTTGAGCACAATCTGCCGCGCGACGAGGTGAGGATGTCGGGCGTGTACCGCGGCGCGGCGGCCATCGTCGGGTCGCTCCTCGCCATCCCGGCGTCGGGTCCGCTCATCAGCCTGTCGATCAGGTACTTCACGCTGCGCAACGGCGGCACGCGGCACGCCGAGGTGTACCTCCCGGGCTTCGTGCTCCCGGTGCTCTCGAGCGCCCTCTGCCAGGTCCTTCTTGCCATGGGGTCCAGCTCGGGCGGTTCGGCCGTGCTGTACTACGTGTCGTACGGGCTCTGCATGTTCAGCTACGTGTCGGGCGAGGTGGCGGTCGTCTTGTGGATCATCGAGGCGTTCCCGCCGTGGGCGTCGGCGTCGCTGGCGGTGCAGTACTTTGTGCGGGACATGGTGGCGTTTGGAATCGGAATCAACCTCATGGCGTGGGTGAAGAAGGAGGTCAGCGTGCAGTCGAGCCTCGTGATTCTGGCGCTGGTGCTGGTCATTGGAGCGCTTGCGGTGCCGATTGTGTTTTGGGGCAAGACGGTGCGGCAGTATATTCACGGAAAATGGAGCGAGTCGACCAAAGGGGCGATTCGGCCTCGATGAGGGTCAATGAGGTTCGACCTGGCGAGGACAGATATATGGGGAGTGAGAGCAGGGGAGAGGAACACTGGGTGCTTTATACGTTCCTGCTCCAAGCCAACATGGGCCTTGGCATTGGTGTCTTTCCGTGTCTATATTTTACTTTAGAGGGACGTATAATACACGCACTATTCCCGACGTCGTCCGCCGTTGCGGTCTTCTTGGTTTCATTCTCTCTTGCTGTTCACCTTGCGGGACCTGTCAGGGACAGAATCACAGATTGCACGAGCATCGAATCGCATCATCATCGACTCCCCGCTTACAACATGGACACCTTCAGCCTGTTGCGGGCGGTAATCCCGTCAACCTTGAGACGAGCTCAACGCAGTACGAACGACGAATCTCCTCTTCTGTCTGAGTATCTCTTGGGCATACTCTGCGCCATTTTCTTCCTCGCTCTACTCACCCTCGCCCTGGAGGCCTTCCCCTACTATCGATCGTACACCCCTCTTCCAGAGAGCTTGTTTACGTTCCAAGTGGCGCTCATGAAGATTGCCACCATCCTGTTCTCCATCGTCATCGTCTACGGATGTGTCTTGGAGCGTCTGAACGACGGGCCTGAGGCTCAGCAGAAGAACGCGCATCGCTTTATCGAGTATGTGATCTGGATCTGGCAGACGTTGGCGGCCATGAGCGCGGGGGTCGACTGACATGGGAGGCAGGTTATGCGCTACTGTCCACATGATGCAAAAACGGCAAGTACATGATAAAAGTATGATCAATACTAATTTTAATGACCTTGCATCTAGCAGTTTGGCTAGTCGCAAGGTGGACCAACCTGGCGGTGAATCTCGTTCATCAGGCTGGTCTTGCGATTTTGTCGACGTCTGACTGCAACAACGCGAAAACGCGTCAAGTCCCCATCCCCATCAAGCCCCCACCTCGTTTGACCTCACTCCATCACCACCCACACACCCCCAGTCATCCGGACTATTCATCGCCGCCGGACTCGCCATCGACTCCAGCTAACGAGTCATTCATCGAGACCGCCGAGCATACATTGATTTTCCAAGAGGCCATCTCGGCAGTCGTGCCCAGCAACCCAACCATGCCGCCGCCACCCCCTACCCTCGACCTCACTCTCATCGTGGCCGCGACCCGCACCATGGGCATCGGCCGCAGCGGCACCCTCCCCTGGACAGGCCTCAAGCGCGAAATGGCGTACTTTGCCCGCGTCACCAAGCGCCTGCCGGCCTCGGCCCCGCCGACGGCCCTCAACGCCGTCATCATGGGCCGCAAGACGTGGGAGAGCATCCCGCCGCGCTTCCGGCCGCTCAAGGGGCGGCTCAACGTCGTCATCAGCAGGTCTGCCGCCCCCGCTGCGGCCGGGGCCGCGCACGAGGTGGACGTCGAGACGGACGCCGTCAGGGTGGCGTCGCTGGAGGAGGCGGTCCGGTTCCTCGAGGCGTGGCCGCGGCCGCTGGGCCGGGTCTTTGTCATTGGCGGGGCGCAGATCTACGGCGCCTCACTGGCGAGGAGGGAGGCGAGGCGGGTTCTGCTGACGAGGGTCGGCGGGCCCGAGTTTGAGTGTGATGCCTTCTTCCCGCTGAACCTGGGGCAGGCGGAGGGGTGGGTGAAGAGGGACAAGGGGGAGCTGGATGCTTGGGTCGGCGAGGAGGTCGACGCTGGCGAGCAGGAGGAGAATGGAACGCGATATGAGTTTCAGTTGTGGGAGAAGGAGGATCAAGCTTAGTGTCGAGGCTATAGGCAGTATATTGATCCATGCCAAACAAGTGCGGCCCGTGTTTGCGCCTGTATCGCCCCCGTATCTGTCGTCTGGACGCGGCGGCGCTCCGTACCTGCTCTGCCTCGCGAGCCTCCCCGTCGGCAACAACAGATAGAATCACGCCAGGCAGCAACCAAGAGCCCGCCGCGGTCCTCTATATTTCAAAACAGCTGCCTTTTCCCCCAACAACCCACTAGCCCAGTGGGTAACGAACGAAGCAACCCCCAAAGACCGCACGTTCGAATCCTGAAGCCTGCAAAAGCTCAGCGATAGCTCGGGCCTCGTGGAGCTACCGCAGCCTGTCCTCCAACCCTGACGCAGGGTTGGGGGGCAGGTGAGCCTTATGCACTTTGCTCCAACGAAGTTGCTGCTTTTTTCTTGGCTTATTTCTTTGGCTCCTTATGCCCAGATCCTCGGGGTCGTACTACGACAGTGACGATGATAGGCAGGGGAGTATGATACAGAGGTGCTATTACGACTTGGATGTTCGAAATAAACTCTTCTTCTTGTCGTTGATTTCGCCAGGGCTTCTGCGTCCGTCGCCGTGCCGTGATGCTTCTCACCCGATGCTGGACATTTTACCACAGGATCCGCTTGCAGCACCGCCAAGTACCTCAGCAAGCAATCTTTCTCGCTCCCGACCTTGTTTCCCCACGTGCATGCTTTTTTGTTTAGCGTTGTGGAATTAAAATCCCCAACGGGCAAAGAGGTAGTATCATAACTCTCGCTCGGACGTGGCGATGGCTGGTATCAACGACCATCTAGCCGAACGAGCATAGTAAGAAAATTTCATGTTCAAAATCTTATAAGAATACAGAGCACGCTCAAAAAAGGAAAAAAAAAAAAAAAGAGAGAGAGGGCGAAGATACCGTTCATGAGGCAGAAAGCAGCAAACTGTCGAAAAAAGCTTAGTGGAGGTCGAGTCTTGTCAGGAACTCGCCCATGTTTCCGATGACATACGTACGCCTCCTCAAACCAAGGATTTTGTTGTTATAGGGGATTAATTGTCGACATACAGAGCAGCCTGCAGCAGGTGACTCCTGGAACATGAACGTTAAGTAAGGTAGCCAGGTAAACGCGTAAGTCGTCATACAGGGGGCATGGTGAGCATATGTGACGCCAATGACAGAGATCAGACTATCGAATGGAAATACAGCAGTCACATGACACAGAACTACATTTTCCCGCCCCTGCCAAGGAGCCATGGCGAGACAATTGCACGTTGGCGATCATTGTGGTCATCGTTGAAGCAATAAAAGGTATAGAAGAGACAGTAGCCGTGGGCAGCTGTCGCCAACGGACAGCCGCGACCTTAGTCGAAGTGGGTCCGCGACCCTGTCGCGACCTCTTGAACTTTTTGGATAGCTTCACCTGCAACTGCTGTCAGTGGCCTGAGAAATCCGAGGGATCATCGCAGCTCAACACCTCGCTGCAGGCGCTTGAATCTTCCTCTGTCACAATGGCTGCCTGCTCAAGGGGCCTTGCCTTGGGCGTCGCCCTCCGAGGGCCGCTTTCCTCCGCCCACCAACCCTTCTTGACGAGCCGCTCATTCACAACCTTCTCGTGCTTCCAAGCCGCGGCGCGCAAACCCGCCCCAGTAAAGCCCGCCGTCACCAAGCCGACACGAATCCTACCATCAAAGGCGACACAGACCCCGAAACCAACAGCGGCTCCTCGCCCCGCCGCCGCCACACCCCTGCCCTCGGCAGCAACGACAACGAACCCCCTCCTCCTGCAGCTCGCGCGGTCGCCCTCCCCGACAATCCTCTACGAGTCGGCGTCGCACTTTTGGATGAAGGCCACAGCCTGGACCACAACGTCGGCGTGCTACGCCGCGGCCGTCGCGAACTGGTACCTCACGGCGCCGGCGGACGCGGCGTGGTTCGTGCCCAACGTCTACACGCTGACGTGCGTCGCGCTCGCGGGCATGGGGTCCTTCTTCGTCTTGGGCGCCGCCAACATTGTGCGCGCCGTGCGCGCCGTGCCGACGGCGACCCTGGCCGGCGGGGCCCTGCCGCCGGGCGTCAACCCGCGCCTGACGCCCGTCCTGCTCGAGGTCGCCGTCAAGCCGTGGGCGCCGTTCCTGCGCAGGCCCAAGGTCCTGCTCGTCGCGCCCGAGGCCGTCACGCTGCGCCGCCGCCTGTTCGAGCCCCGCGTCACCGAGGCGCAGCTGCGCAGCATGCGCGCCCGGGAAAAGGCCGCCGCCAGGGCAAAGTGGGAGGCCGACAAGCAGAGGCTGCTGACCATGCCGTTCCGCGACGCCTGGCGCGGCGCCAAGATGGCCTGGGAGGGCGTCAGGAGGGCCCTGACCGGCGGCGGCTTTGTCAAGATGACCGTCGGCGACCGCAAGTGCAAGCTCGACGTCGCCACCGGCTGGGCGCTCGACGACGGGCTGGCGCTGCAGAAGCTCGTCCGTATCGAGAAGCAGGGGCAGTAGAGGCCGTGGCAGGCCTCGTAGGGAAGGAGCCCTTGCGAGGCGCTCCCCTCAAAGCAAGCATGTGTGTATTCTCCATATTGTATCATAGGAAACGGCATAGACAGAGTGTACATCATACGAGATTCATGGCGCCACCTACCCCTCCCCGATGACGAGCATCGTGACGACCTCCGCGCCCACAACGACGGCCAAGCCGTTGCCATGCGTAACACAAGTGAGGCGAAGGCCGTGTGTTGGCCGCAAGAGACGATGGATCGGGGCCTCGAAGGCCTTACGTCGGGAGCAAACCCCTTCGAGGCCTTACGTCGGGAGCAAAGGGCACAGGACCAACAACCAGCAGTATACTCAGCAACGATAAAACTTCCGGGGACAGAATTTGCACTCAGCATCCTACGCGAAGCTCGTTCGACCGCTTTGTTCCCCTCAGCAAACACCTCGGCAGATGCAGTGAGGCGCCCTGTTCTGGTGCCGCAACCACCTCGCTTGCGTTCCATGCATGATGGCACAGACGACCGAGGAGTCTCCTCACCACCAGACCGCTCGCCATCGGCACAATGGAACGCCTCACTCTGCAACCGCCAGAGGGCCGCAGCAACCCCTCTTCAGCAGAAAGCAAGGGAGGTGAGCTTAACAGCTGCATGAGGGGTTGGTCGCTTGAGGAGAAAAAAAAAAGACCCCGCCAAAACACCAAGCTTTGCGATCACCGCACATTCCCCTGATGATCGCGACAGGGCCCCTGACCGTCTCGTCTCTCGTTGATCGGCACGGCCGGCGGACGGTTCCAGTTGCGGCTCAAGAAGCAAACGAGGCGGGAACAGGAAAACAACTGGTCAGCAAGGGACGGCATATGCTCACCGTCCTACCAGGGGGGGTCAATGACACGCGGAGCCACCAGTCGACGCGAGTGTTATATCCCCGAGAAAACGAGAAAAGGGGGGAGGCGGGAGGATGGCCGGCACCGAGAGACGGGTCCATCGTGTGTGCTGTCACGGCTATATCAGGAAGCCAAGGGATGGGATTTCCAGGCATGTCCGATCGATCGAGATTCAGGAGATGGGAAAGGCGGGGGTAAACTACGGCGGACGAATATAGTGTGGGTGAGGCTGGCTACCTACTACCTAAGTAGGTAGTTAGGTAGGAATTCTCATGGTAAACAACAGCCAGAAAAGGAGGAAAAGTTGGAAGTTAGCGCCAGGGTCCACTCGGACTCCCAGCCCTTCGAGCGAGCAGTCAAGGGATGGCCGTGGTGGTGAGTGGTTGTAGAAGAGCGTTGGCGATCTGTGGCGGTCAGTCAGCCTCAGGGAAGAGCCTTCTCGCAAAACGAGGCTATCCCTGCCTACCAACAACGTGTCACCATTCTCAGCGAGGAACGGCTGCTCGTTCATATCCCTGACGGTATTCAAGAGGGCTTTTATGAACCAAGGTTGGTTGAATTGACAGACGAACGGGTCCAGGATCCCAGCCATGACCCTTATAGCCACCGTTGGCCTTGGTTGTTATATTCTGGGGTGGAGTGTTCCACGTGATGCCGTTCAAAGCCATTGTACGAGGTACATGAGATGCCCCGCCGCAATGGCCAGAAACCACCCCGGCACAGCAAGCAGGTGGGGTAAACCAGCCTCTGGATCTGGTCATCGTTACCGTTGGACTCGACAGGCATCCAGCGCGCGCCAAAACCCGGAAGCTCTCCTCTTTATCTGCGAATAGCCTCATCTGCGGACGACATCGCTCAAAGCCAGGAGTTTGATTCCCTTACCAGAACGCAAGAGGTTAGAGGCGATGACTTTTCACAGTTTACTCGCTAGCCTGGCCCCAAAGGACCCAGTAAAAGAAACTCGTACGAGCACCTATGCCAGCCACAGGGCAGGGTGTCGGCAACGAGAAATGAGGCATAATCTCGAATATCGTGCTTCAAGCCCCAAGCCTGCGTAACTACTGCATCATGCTGTGCGTCTCGGTTGTTGATAACCTCGAGAGGTTGCGTTCAGTGACCATGACTCCCTGACTTAGTCGCACCATTAAGCGAACTGTTCAGCAGCCCGCGCTCTCGCGAAAAAGGGCGATGTGGTGTCGGGACGCTCGACATTCGTTGGTCTTGACGGAAATTCACCTGCAGAGCAGGATCGTTCGTGGCGGGGGAACCCGGGAGGTACATGAACAGATGACCAGAGAGGTGATGGCGGTGGTGCGAGATGGGCGATGTCCATGGTTCAAGGGTCATGCAGGCCGTTGGTCTGCAGCGTCGTAATTGACAGACGTGGGGGGCACCTTGCTTCCCGCTAGCTCAAATGGGAATAATGAGATTTCGTTCGATAAGTTGCCGGTGGTCTCAAGTCTGCTTCTGAGTCGTCTGGCGCCATCCGTGTCCTTGGTACTTCGTCTTTTTCGTAGAGCGGTCCCCATCGACCAGCAAGCGTCGGATCGCGAGGTGGCAACCTCCTGTGATCATCTGAGAGAAGGCATTTCTGGAGTCGAACATCCAACAAGCACCTTAACATACACTTTTCCCGTATCAAGGTGAACCTTCTAA